TGAAGCAAGCAAGCTCCCCCTAAGAATAAGCATATTTAAAATACTCACTTTGAACTTTTTCTTGTGTTTATTAAAAGTATAAGTTTGATGCAAATAGTTTCACAAGAATGCACTCAAGTCAAGTTGCATATGCACCACTTTGAAGTATACATCTTCTCCCCCTTTTGTCAAAATCAAAAAGGGTATTTTGAAAATTTTAGCTATGTATAACTTCTTGAAACCCTCCCCCTATCAAAATGAATTTTTTAGGAAAAATGATAGTTTTGAGATCATAGGGCAAAAGGTGCATTTACACCGAAACTCCATCTAAAAATGAAAACTCCCCCTAAAATGATGCAAGTTTAAAAACTTTAATTTTTTCAGGGGTTTTTAGGGATTATTTTCTAAAAAACATGATTTAAAAATGAATAAAAAAATATTTAATCATGCAAACCAAGGCTAAAGCAAATAAAAGCACGTATGAGTTAAGGTTTTATTTTTGAAAATAATTAAAACAAAACAAAATATCTTATCCCAATAAGTGAGAAGAATTTACCTTGGTTTATGCCGCTCTTTTTTCGGCTTAGAATATACTTCTTTCCTCTTCACATACTTCTTCCATTTGAGGAAATCCATATATTTCATTCTCATCGCCTTCTCTTCATCTTCCTCGTCATTTGACTCTTCCGAGGAGCTTGAGTCATTTGAATCACTTGACTCGCTTGATTCTTCACTTAACGAGTCTTTGGAAGCTTTGAAGGCGTTGGTAAGCTTGGGATTTTCACGCATTTCTTCATCTTTGATCTTTCTCAACAAAAGTTCGTGAGAATACAAGGAAGACCAAATTTGGGCGGTTTCGGCCTTATCACATTTGGGTAATAAATCCACTATACTACTATGCCATTCTTTAGGTAAAGAAAATAGAATTTTCGTATTAAGCTCGGAAGTAGTATACGTTTTACCCAACTTACCCAATTTGTTGACAATCTCGTTGAACCTCTTGTTCATGTCTTGGATTGTCTCACATGACCCTTTCTTGAAAGATTCGTATTCCGAATTCCCGAGGGCTAGCATGGTTTGTTTTGTTGAGGTGTCTCCTTCATGTGTAGCTTGGAGTAGATTCCACACCTCTTTAGCCGTTTTGCAAGAGCAAACATGTGCGAATTCGTCGGGACCAAGAGAGCAATGCAAAATTTTAATTGCTTTTGCATTCATTGATAGCTTTCTCTTGTGTTCCGAAGACAAACCTGCAAAATCACCATTACTCGGCACAAATGGCCCGTGTAGTATATTCAACCATAAATCAAAATCAATTGATTGAATAAAATATTCCATCCGCATTTTCCAATAGGAATAGTTTTGGCCATTGAAAAACGGAGGGCGGTGAATGCTTTGGGAATCCATTTGAGCCATTTTTCAATAAATTTGAATTTTTAAAAAATTAGGGAAAATAAAATTTTGAGATCTTAAAATTCAAATTTAAAAAGGGACACAACAAGTGGATCTTTGTCGTAGATGCGGTTAAGCACTTTCAACTACGAAACTTCTCTGATACCAATTGTTAGTCGGTTTAGTCGTTGTGCCCACGCCTTAGAGGGGGGTGAATAAGGCGTTTAAAAACTTTTCGGAGTTTAATAAAAATGGTGTTGGCAAATGCGGAAGCAATAAATAAAACGCAAAAATAAAAGCGTAAATAAAATGCACACCAATTTTATACTGTTTCGGGAACTCCCTACTCCAGTACCTCAAGGCTCCTCCTCAAGGATTTCCAAATCCACTAAGTCTCGGTCTCTTGAACTCCGTCAAAGCACCGCACTAGTTTGGCAAACAACCCTTGCCAATAGGATTCACTCCGAGATTTCACCACGGCTATCTCGAACCGTTTACAATGAAGATTTAACGGCTATCTTCTACCGTTCCCCCAAGGATTTCAAAGGCTATCCTTGAACCTTTACCCAAGGATATATACGACTATCCTCGACCGATACAATATGAGAATTTAACGGCTATTCTCGACCGTAAGAAGGTGTGTTTGAAGAACACAAAAGAGGATTCTACACAACGGCTAGAATATAAAAATGAAGAACAAAACTTAGCCGGTGTAGAAGGAAATTATACTCTCTCAAAAATACAATATAAACTTATGAATATGAGAGTATATAACTAGAAACACAAGCTCAAAGTGTGTGTATAAAATTCAGGAATTTAAGGCTCTTGAAATAGCCAAAATATTGAAAATAATTAATAAAAGGATGAACACACTTAGAATAAAAAGAGAGGATGTTTAGAGCTTTGTTTCTT